AGAAACTACAACCATGAAGGTACTGAACGTCTGGACTTGGTCTGGCTTTTGGACTCTGTCTCAGTTTAAAGGGGGCATGGTAGGTCTAGGGCACCCTCCATTCCTCCATACTCTTGCCTAGGCATACACGCTGAAGGTCTTGGTGTGATGGTTGCATAGACCTCTTCCACATACACCATGATCCGGAGGATTGATGGTTGCAAAGAGTGATAGGCTATTCTGTGTGGCCACAGCAGAGGAAACAAAAAGTAAACATCTGAAATTACAGCAAGGGAAGTTTACTTTGGACATTGGGAAGAACTTCCAAATTACAATGGTAGTTAAGTATTGTAATATGTTATCTAGAGAGAGAGTTACAGAATCTCCATCCTTGAAAGTCATGTTTTTTTTGTTTTTTTTAAGAGCAGGTTAAACAAACGCTTGTCTGGAATGGTTTAGATGGGGATGACCCTGTCCTGAGGTCCCTTCCAGTGCTGTTTTGATTCTGTAAAAAATTGTAATTGTAAAACAGTTTTCTGGCTATCAAGGGAAAATAGCATGAGAGCCTTTGCTAGGTTATAAAAGAAATGAAAGAAGAGAACTCAAAGGGCACAATAATCCATAAAATAACATCTAACTTTAGAAATCTGCTTATAGCTTCTGGCAATCCCTGATGCCTATTCCATTTATTGCAAACGGAGAAGGCACACTTCAACTCCAGCACAACAATAGTTGTCTGATATTAAAAGGTAAAGAGCAACATCTGAAGCATTTATGATAGTAATACCTTCTGTGGGACCAGAAAGAGTCACTTGCCAAGTGGTAATTTTTACTGCACTCTTAAGTTCTCTTCTGCCCTTTTTGCACAGTTAAGCCACTGTTTACATTAGCTAAGAAAACTTTATAGCCCCAATATTTTTGTTAAATGTTCCAGGCCATAGCACAAAACACAGATCTTAAAGACCGGTTACGCAGAATACATGCCGAATCTATGCTCCTTGATTCAGCAGCTAATGCAAAATCAAGTCCTGATTTGGTTAAGGTGGGTATGGATTTACTGTTTAAGTGGTGTCTGTTACTGCAAACCCCCTCACCTACATTCTGTTCCTTAATTGCATCTTATCCTGCTTGTTTACCCCTACAGCAGTTGCCATTGTACAAGGTACTCTCTTCTCCCTTGCTTGTGATCTTGCTTTTTGTGTAATAATCTAGAAGGCTTTCTCTCCAGTGGTGCTTCTCAGTATAGTTCCATTGCTTTTTTTCCTGCTAGGTCCTCTGTTGTTCTTAGTTTTTCCTTTTGCTTATCTCTTGGCAAGAGCAAAGATATCCCATTGTTCCACTTAGCACTGATTTTTCATTCACATACTCATTTTTCTGTGTTCACTATCATGTTTCTTAGGTGTTACTATTGCCCATATTGCAGTTCAAACACTGAACCCAAATAATTAGAGGAATAATGAAAGGGATTCCTTCCTGTAAAATTTAATGAGTATTGTTTTGGGCACATGTTGTTTGACTTGTTCAGCTTGACTTGTTAGTACAGAATGTTGCCTCCCAGTATGTCTCGCTAACACTTACATTTGTAGTTAAGTACTAGCGTGGAAAAAAAATAAGGCCCTTTTTTAGTTCTGTTGGAATGAGATGTAGAAGGTAAAGGCACTTTTAGTGATTTGGTTTTCTTTTGTATGTAGGAGGCTGTCCTCTACATGTCTCAAACAAGTTGGTTGAACCTGTTGATGTCACAGCCAACACGTTGCCTTTTCAAGTAGAATGAATATGATTATATATTTATAGATCTTAGTAGGTAGCTGGTAGCACTGCTAATGAAGGAAGCAAGCACTGTGGTGTTTCTGGTGGATTTTCTAAATGTTAAATTACACATTTCTGCTCTGCTTATACAGCAAATGTTTGGTTAAAAGTTGAATAGATGTCATGCTGTTGATTTTTATATCCTCCCTCTAATATATTTTCTCTTTTTAAATGACAAATTTAATCATTCAGTCTATTCAAGTCCTGATCTAATGTCACATTTGGTCATGCTTGTAGGATTTGAAGTAAAATGGATTGTTAATGGACCTTGCTTTTATCCCTCCAAATATGCACTCTTCTGAATAACAGTTTATTTCAGAGTAGGTCTCAGATCTCTAACTTGAAGAGGATTTCTTATTAACAAAGTCCTGTACAGATGATGTATTCATTCTGAAGCAATTTATGTACCATGGGATATGTGCCAAAAATTCATTTACAAATTGTCCATAATATGGATCAGGATTGCTCATAATTAACGTGAGGGCAAAGGCACTTATTCTGGACGTTTTATTCTGGCTGCATATGTTCTGGGGTAGTGGAACAGTGCAATCATGAATGTGGTGAGGAAACTGCCATTGTACAAAGTTGGATTGAAATGCTCTCTGAAAAGTGCTTCTACTCTGCTCTTCCAAGCTTCCACTGTCACTTCTGAGCTAACCTATTTGAAGAGACTGGTTGATAGTATCCTGCTGAAAATTTTGCCCTATAAAGATATAATACTTTAATAATATAGTCTTTGAAACCCTCCTGATGCTGGGAATTTTAGTCGAATTTCAGTCCAGCCATACCTGCACTTGGGGAAAATCCCCCATTTTGTTTTTATTTTTATTGCAATTTCACAAGGCTTTGACTTCAAGGGTTTCTCTCTCCCTCTCTCTCACATGGTATATACTTTGTGTGTGTGTGTGTGTGTGTGTACGTATAATATATATATATATTTACCATAGCACTACAACTATGCTGGAGAATGCAGAGAACTAATAGGTTATAAGAAGTTATAAAGTTGGGGGTTGGTTCATGTGTGGACTTGGTGCATTCCTGCACCTGGGTAAGTAGCCTAACAGCAGAAGTAGGAAAGCAGGACTACTTCTATTTGGAATACTTCTCAACTCCTCTAAACTTGGTTTGCCAATGCACTGAGAAGTTTTCAGCAAGGAAGGCTTTCAGGAAATAAGCCACCTATCCGTGTGCACATGTCGGAGCAGACTTGATTAATTGAGTCTGCTGGAGCTTGCTGGTAACACATGCCAGCAGCCTCAGCATCTCATGTATTCAGCATCCCCATGCTTCAAAATGGTGG